CTAACTTTTCAAAATTAGTTGCTAGATATCGTAATGCTGAGCAGGACGTCATAGTGCTCAGCGGTATGGCATAATGCTGAGTAGTATGATGTAGTGCTAAGCAGAGGGTATGGGATGTGGATGTCTCTTCCTTCAACACTCACACCCACATTGCCCCACACCTCACTCACAGTCACACCCACGCTGACGCCATAATGCTGAAGATTATGACGTCCTGCTGAGCACTACGATGTCTAGCAACTAATTTTGAAAAGTTAGGTTTTTTATTTTAGGGTCAATGCGGCCATGGGCCGAAGGTCCACAAGCCGAAATTCTGTTCTTCCATTTTTTTATAACATTTAGCTATTTTCTTAAAATAGAGTTCCACATATCGAGAAATCGAAATAAATCCACGGTCACCATTATTCTATACATGCATGCCTAGACTATTGCAGCGTTCTACCTAAGACCGGTGAACTAGTGCAATAGTCTCCGGCGGCCAGAACTTGTTGGGTTGGTTTCGGATCTGATGGGCTCTAATAGTGGTACCAACGATTACTATTATCGTTGCATCCCAAATTAGGGTGATTTTCTATCTTAAAAAGTAGATATCGCATTATCAATTATCTTCCATTTGATTTCATTTTACGCATAAGAGAATTTGGAATATTTCATATCTCAGAATAGGTGATATTAGAAAAGCTACAACTTGTCCGATTAATTAATTCCATTGAAAGTTCGTTTGTGCAAAGTCTAAAGTTGAAGCTTTCATGTAACCTGAGGGAACCACAATTTTTTAATCAAAAACTCATTTCAAGAGTGAAAGTCCGAAAAATCAAATCATTTTTGACTTTTCTCTTACTCATTAAATGGATATCGTCTTGAGCCATTTGATATTCCTTCATTAGAATTCTAAATTGAAGTTTTAATTCATATGCTTTTTTTTTTAGCTTCATTTTACGGCTAAAAAATTAGAACATGAAAAAGTCGAAAATAAACGTTTACAAAATGATAATGAAGATTTACAACATGAATTTCAACGTGAACGTGAAGGTTATTTAAATATAATTCGTGAACAAGAAAAACGACTTCTTCTCTATCGTACAATGATTGATAAAATGAGTAGTATTATGCAACGTAGTTGTAACTATAGTAATATTGATAGAATTATTGAACAAGCTCGTTATGAGGAAGATAAAAATCAATATATTTTACCTGAACCAACTATAGAAGAAATTCAATTACCTCAAGTAGGAAATTTACCAATAACAACAACAACAACAACAAATGGACGTATACCACAAAGTGATTATATAACACCAACAAAAACAGGATCTACACCATTAACAACTGAATATGAAGATGATTTTATTGAATCAACACCAGTTAGCAATGGTTATCAAAATCAATATTCAACTATGAATACTGAAGAATCTGAAAGACGTTATGGACGTTATGATACAACAAATTTACCAGCAGAAAAAACACGTATTAAACGTCAAGAACATTTATTAAATGAAAGTTCAATTTTACAACGAACAAAACGTCCATTACAAATGAATAATAATGATAATGATTATATGAATCGTCGTCTTAATCCATTTGAACCACCAGCTCGACTAAGTCGTAAATATGGTTTTTCATCAGATAAACAATAAAACAAACACTCACAAAATTAACCCGTGCACAAAATATATTCTTTCATCCGGTCAAAGATTATATTATTTTCTTTTATTCTTACTAGTCGTATGAGATCTTATATTTTATCTATACTCAATAACAACAACAACAAAAAAAAAGCAAAACATATGACATATGTTATATAGATATATTTGGTGATATTACATCGAGTTTTTCTTTTTTTGCTTTAATGAAATTATTTTTTCAAATATTTCAGATTTTCTTTTCATTATTAAAATTATATAATAAACATGTGATGTTGTGTAAACTGGCAGAAAATTTGTATCTATGACGAGAAAATTTTAACATTAAAATATTTACTCATTTTTCAATCTAGAAACAGTTCGTTAGAATTAGAATTTTCATTTACAATTGAACAACTATAATCAGATTGGTTCGAAATAATACTGTTGTATAGTTGTCATAGAAAATACCTCTATTCATTACAAGGATTATTTTGCTGAATAAGTTCTTTTAGATATATGAAATAGTGTTAGCTCTTTCAACTGACTATTAAACAAAAAGTACTTAAAAAATATTTCTCTAATTATAAGGAATAAAATCCGAAAGTTTCAAAATAAACTCTATATACCTGTTTATTTATCAAAAATACTGTCTCCATTTGGAGGTTCTTTTTATACTGATAACTCCTCTGTAGGAAAGTTCATTACCCCGAGATAAATATGTGATAATTATTCAATTTTATCCCAAAAGAAAAATCTCAACATATATTCGAAAAGAGCGAAAACTTCTGACTGCAACTAACTGCTGATCAGTTACCTCTTACGAGGGAACATTCCCAGGTGTTGGAACGCTTTTGAGTCAGGACTTTGTGCATCTTGTAGGCCTTGATGAATTATGTCTACCGTAAAAAAAGTTCGTGCCCCTAGCTTGTTCCTAGTGAGATATCGAGGTTTTAGTGAATTTTTCCTATAAGACCCTACATTTGCAGCAAGACCATATTTTTGA